CAGGCCCAGCTCCACTCACAGCTCAGCCCTGCGTCAAGCTGCGCTACAACCAGCCTCCTCTTCCTGAAGCTCTTTGATCTCATCATCTCATCAGTATCATCCTCATTCTACTTTGAGTTAAAACAAACAACCTGCAACCAGATGCGCCGGTGTTCTGGTTTAACGTTAACGAGTGACCGCGTGAACTGAACCGGAACACGGGGGGGCTGCATGTTTCATCACGTTATGTTTTTGCCTCCTAAATCGTGATAATGACGAACGTTAACAGTCGACAAAGTTCCGCATGCAGTGGACGTTAACTTAACCCAGCAAGTCTGAACGGTAACGGTACATAACGGAACTTAAACTTTAACGGAGGGAAATGAAGACGCTGTAGACATCTGAACGCTGATTGGCCAAGACTCGACACATCAAAGATGTTCTATTGTGAAGATCACGACCTTTTCTCCTCGTCTCACTCCAATCTGAGAAACGCCGGCTGGCAACTCAGCGTAAATGAACGACATGAAAATATGAATATAACACATTTCCATGACTTTTCCAAAACTTTTGGGGTTTTATTTTTTTCCATGACTTTTCCAGGCCTGGAAATAACCATTTTAAAATTCCATGACTTTTCCAGGTTTTCCATGACCGTACGAACCCTGGTACTTGTTTAATCAGAGCCTTTGGGGACAGCAGCAGCTTGTAGGATACAGGCTGTCTGAACCGTGTCGCCTCCTGCTGCTGTCAAGTCAGAACACAGCACATTGATGTTGCTCGGCGACAGCAACAAGGATCGATACATTTCTTTGGGACCAATCAGAAACATTTCCATATCGGTTTGTCTGCATTGGAACTCACCAGAGAAGTTGGCCATGTGTGTGCACTCATCCATCACTGCCTTCATGAAGCTGATAGACTCTCTATGCAACGACGGCCGACAGCATCTGGCTGAGTCCGTCTTCTTCCCCTGCAGTGTGTCGCTTCTAAGAGATCATTTAACAAACAGATATAAAACTCAACTTAACTACAACATACAGCAGCTCTACTTCCAGCACAGTATGCTAATTACATTTGATTGTGATAGCACAACGATTTATGAGTAAAGTATCAACACAATGTTATGTGAAATGTGCAACTGTAAGAAACAATAGAGAGATATTTCTGGATCAGTCCAGACACACCCTATTTACCAAGTAGGTTTTTTTAGAAGTAGTGTGTGATATTTGAAGCCATATTCAGCAGCTGTTGTTGGAAATAACTTAATAATTGAGTACCTTGGTGGAGTGCCCAAGCTCATCCCAGTGCTGTTCCCTGATGATAACAATTGGTCTACTCTCGTCCCGCCCCCTTCAGGGCCTGCACCAATCAACAGGCCTTGTCCAGCCTCAGCGTCTCCTCCAGCTTTGGAGTTGTGACCCACTGACACTCTGACATCTCCAGACAGGCCCAACAGATGCTCCAAAGACTCCACATTCTTGGTGAAGTCTGGACCCATCCTAAAGGAATCAGCCTGATGAATGTGGACAGATACAATGGACTCATTAATGCTCATCTGTGTTCATGCATGTGTTTGGTATGTTCTCCAACAGAATTCTCATCACTGCTCTGCTTCTTGGACAGCTTCCTCAAAGAGCCAATTCTAACTGGACCGTTTATTATGAATGAAAAATCTCATGGATCTGTTTGATATAGCGACAAATGTCAAACGTCCAATTGTTCAACAGAGCTGAAAGATGTCTAATGTGGTCAGTGTCATCTCATGTTGACATGAAACAAAGAAAAGTCAAGTGAGCATTTGTGAAGCTACAACAAACAAATGATGACCTTTCTTTATCTGGACGTGTTCTAGTCGTGACTCATACATCTTCTAGGGACTTTCTGGTACATAGTGTTCCACATTAATTCTAACTCAATACCATTTTAATATCCTAATCAAACTGTAACCTTCTAGCCCATTGTACCACCCTGGCTGTTATGAGAAATCCAAACACTAAATAAATTCTAGACATTTTGAGTTGCTTTGTGAGAGTTTGAGTAAGTAATAAAAAGTAGAAGGATAACACACCCCACAGTAGTCCAGCAGCTTGATGATCTCTTCTTCATACACAGAGTTAATGGCATACTGCTTCTCCAGCTCTGTCCAGTTTACTGCTGTGCTCAGCACTCCCTACACACACACACACACACACACACAAACTTCTTTGCTTCTTTAGAGGCTAGGTTCACATTTACCAAGGCTATCTTGAAGGTGTGAGATACGAGACTGGGAGCATTTGGAGCCTCTCAGCATGGCGACGCCTGAGCTGAGGGCTCATAGCTAATGGTGCTAACAGCGCTAGCAGTACCAACCACTGCAAACGTGCTGACAGAGCTAACCTGAGGGGAACTGGAGGGTGGTGCGCCTCTGCAGCGACGCTGCTGATAGGGATGACATTATGAGCTCTAACCACCTTATATGAGAGTAGAGCACCGGCCGTGAGCTAACCAGTGGTGCACGCTCACGTGCACTAAAAGCACACCTGGCCAGTCGGCCTATGTCACCACAGCACAGAGAAGCTCTAATAACACACAGAAGGAGAGACTTATTCTCTGCTCAGGTAGACATTACTCCTCTTTATCTTTACATTGATAGTAGTTGTTTGCTGCTATATTATTATACTTTGACTGTTGTATATTGCTCCTTTAATAACATACTCATACACCTGTACATTCAAATAGTCATTGGTCTCTATAATTGTCCATGAAGAGGTTCCTTCCTTAAATGATTTCAATGCAAGTGTGCAAAAATGCAAATCTGTATGTAAGACAGAGGCTCTATGAGCCGGTGTGAGGGCAGAGGGCCCGTAATGGACCATGGATGATAACCCTCCTCCCTCAGGTATTCTGGTTTATGCGTGTATTTGTTAATGTAGATGAACCGATGCCACGCTGAGCTCCGTCAGCAGCTGCTGACACGAGAAGGTAAGGCCGGAATTCTTTTCTTGTTGAGTGAACTGAAGACATTTCTTATCTTTTAGTTTCTGGTACAGTCAGAAGGCTTTGTGCTGAGTAGATCCTCAAGACCTAAGCTCTGTTTGAATGGATGAGAGTGAACCATTCTGCTCAGTGTTTAACTAAAGTAAATGTGATACCAAAAACAACTAAATGAATCAACAGCCCATACAACAGATTCATCATATCTCTGCAAACTTGAGACCAGTGCTACAGTTTATTTTCATGGGAAGGTCGTTTAGTAAGACCGACACTACGCCAGAATGAAAGTAGCCTACTAGCTACTAACTGGGTACTGGTCAGGCGCACCACAATGACATCATTGCACAAATGATAGCCAGTCTGAGGTGTAATATGGATATCATTAGAGCGGATAATATCAGGCTCATTATCACTGTTTGTACGGGTTGATTGCACACTGTCACAGCTATCAACCAGTAAGGTTAAAAACACTGGTGTTTGGTGATGATGCCACCTTTAGTCTGCTCTAAAGAGGTGATGTGTGTCAGGGGGACAGAGCGTTACCGTGGTGAACACACTGGAGGCAGTGGACCAGGACAAACAGGGAATCAGAGGGATGGGCTTCGGCCAGTTGGTCACTGCCAGGGATGCCATCTGGACATAAAGACATACGAGACTTCATGAAATATACTAGGTATTATATTGTATACACGTGTATGCAGGCTTGATGTAAAGTGTTTACTTTCAAATGTGCTTGAATAGAGAGAATGACTCACATATCCTCCCATGGAGATGCCAGTCATTCCTAGTGGCCAGTAACCTTCTCTCTCCAGCCACCGCAGGAGCACTGTTGACTCCAGGATCAGAGCCCCTCCCATCACAAACAGGTCGGACACATTCTTTAGACTGGAGCGCCTGCAATACTCACAAATAATGTCCCTGCTTACTTTACACTGAATTCATCCCTGCTGTAAAGGACAAGTCCAATGAAAGTCCATCTTAGTAGCCAACCTTCCTGGAGTCTTGCCAAGTGGCTCTCAGTGGCTCTGAGCCGTTTGGAGCTCCATCCCTGACAGCAGCTGTAATTAGCCTGAATTCACAGCAGTTAGAAGGGATTCCAACAGTCATGAGAAAAAGAAGAAACGTCTCCAATCATTCCTGTAGCATACTTCACTGAGCCACTGAGACACGTTTCAGTATGGGGAGTTCCTCCTCATCCAACCCCAGGCTCTGAGGACAGGAGGTGTCCTGTGATGTACAGATCAAGCCAATTGAGTTGTGATTCTACTCTATAAATCACACTGGCTTGCCTGAAATAAACTGCTTCCATTAGAGCTCTGGAGCCATGAGACTAAGACTGATAGCAAAGCACAGAAGTAGTGTATTAAGCTTAGTGGTGGAGGAAGATACTGAGCACAGAGCAACAGTGGAGAGGTCAGTCATGCTTCACGTTTCTCTGGACATTTTCATACTTGTTGTTGTTGGAACTCTGGGATGCATTGTAACTGCTGTCAATCCAAGCAGACAACAGCTGCTGTCCTCTGAAGGAGCGAGCTGCTAACTCTTTAAAGCCTTCAGGGGTATCCTAAAGCTGAAGTACTGAAAGCTGACATCAAATATACATTCCCATTCTCATGTATCCTTTACATCCCTGCAGCTTGAAGCACCAGTATAGATCCATGTAGATACAACACTCAGCCCGAGCAGCCACTTCCACAGATTGAGATGAACGTGTGCTCCTACATCCTGAGGCGGTACTGTATTAGTTTAAACACACTGCTGCTGTCTGTACTGACAGTACACATGATGTGAATCCTCCAGAACCTGACAAACTGAGGACTGTTCACATTTTGTCATTATGTGGTAGGGCTACACAATTATGGTAGAAATGATAAGTACAATTAGTTTATGTCAATATTCAGATCAATATTGTTCATTGATTTTAGGGACAAACATCTCATTATTATTATTCAGATTTTATTGCACTTAAGGCGTTTAAATAAAGCGAGCACTGCTCTTACTTTCATGTTGCTCTATATTCCTGCTAATCAACACTTCTTTGCATCACAATGAGGTTCTTCTCCACCTGAATTTACTGCATATTCATTTTGCCCATCAAATATACAGTGCATTACTCTTCTACTCTAGGCTGTATCCGCAACATTCAGGAAGGCTTTTCACAGACTGCAAGGTTTGCACACAGCTCCCCAAACAAACATCTGGATCGCCCCCTGCTGGCCACTGCTAGTTTAGGACGTTTTAGCTTCATATGATGTACAGCAGAGTTCTGTGAGCGGAGCACAGCTGCTAAACGTCAGTACCCCAGACAGTCATTGCATTGTGGGAGGCCAAAATCATGACTGCGATTAATATCATATAATATAATATATATATATATATATATATATAATGATATTAAATAATCATTTTGCAGTTCTAGCCATGAAATGCAAACTGAAGATCCTTTGTCTCATTTTGCTTATGTTCAAAATTGAAAGCTCCCTTTTATCTACTTCAGTGTGAAATTAAAAACCAGCCGATTGGCCAAACACTTATCAATCAACCAATCAACCAAGAGACTAGTGTGTGAATGGGAGGCCACTTACAGCTGGTCTTTGGGTTTACGGTAGCCATGTAAGAGGTCAGTCAAGGAATAAAACAATGTTCACAGACAGCATACAGCAGATGAATATAGAAGAAGATGTAAACATATGACCTGAGGATGGACTTCGGATGTTTGTCTGAACACATTTCTGAATTCTTTCCTGTAGCAGTCCCACATGTGTGCCTGAATCAGGCAATTACATATTATCTTTTATATGGGTTTTTCATCATTACACGCCCGTATTGTCTTCATCATTAGCTTACTAAGTAGTCAAGTTATTGGGTAAACACTGAATACACACCCTTAAAGGAGCACTACTGTACGGTGGCTCTGTAGGAGCTCTGTCAGGTCTGAGAAATAAGCCTGATGATGTCATGGTGATCAGATCTCAGCTGTGCAAACAGGAGGGAGTTTCATTAAAGTGCAAAGAGAGTTGTTGGTGTTTTAGTGAAGTCTGGTGGTTTAAAGAGACAACAGAAGGATATAATAAGGGTTCTCCAGAAGCAGTGAGGCCATTCCTGCCTCTTTGACCATGGGCCTGGCCATCAGGGTCCGCCGACGCCAGAAAAACTACACACACACACACACACACACGTCATTAATGCTTAAGGGTCAGACAGTACAGAGTTCACAACACAAACATCTTTCCAGGGTTCTACTGATGCAGCTCTGAACTGTTTCCCATGGCAAACAAAGATGATGGTCACTGAGCCAACATGCACCCAAAACCCAGCTTGTTGTTAAACACTTTCTTGATTCCTCAGTGCTGCTGTGAAAAAGCGTCACTTGTATCTTAAAGTGAGTATTACATGTTAATATCAAAGTCACTATTCATATAAAAACAGGTGAATAGAGAAACAAGGTGGGTATTGGTGATATCGTGTCCATCCTCCTCCTCGAGGTGGACTCTGTACACGGCGAGGTTTAAAGGTTCAGAGTCTTACGTGGTCTCCGGTCCCTGCCAAGTGGATGCATACTGGTCTGTTCTTCTGCCACCTCTTGGGAACTATGAACTGGAACCTGAAACAACACACACACCTTGGCAGTGATACTTTTCATGATGTATTATAAGCTGCTTAAAGGCAGTATTAGGAGGTGAAACCTTCCCCTCTTCTACATTATATTGCTGTGAAAACATCTCCTTCAAACAACCGTAGTAATTCAAATTCCTCGCCTAAAACTACATTTTGCAAGATTGCTTTTGAACATATCATGATAACGTTAACGTTAGCCGTTAGCTCAGGACTGTGCTAAAGAGAGACTCGGTGCTGACTCTGAGCAGCATGATGGGAATGAATTCAAATATAACAAGTGTCGGATTAGTTAGTTGTAAAGTAGCGATGAGAACTTAAAATGTACAGAGAGGGTCTCTTTAAATGTAACTTGAGGATTCCTGCACACACACTGCGTTAGCCTCAGCAGTAGAGGACGACATGGTGCTCTGTACCTGGCTTTGACAGCCTCTGCTGGCAGGATTCCAGGAACAAAGTGCTCCAGAGGAGAGATGAAGAACCCATCATGGATGTGACAGTCAATGTGCTCCTCTGTCTGTACACACACACACATATCTGTGAGAATACAATACTAGTTACACCAGTGAGCAATGAAGAGAGAACACATGGAGTACCTTGTTTATGTGGACTGGATAGTCTTCAGGCACCAGAGACCGGCACCTCTCTCTGTCTCCAATGATCTTACGGAACTCAAAGATTCTGCAAAACACCAAGAAGGGAGAACAGATCAGTTCTACACCAGTACAGTCTGCTCCATCACTGGTTCCACAACAGCACCTGAACTGGCTGCCCGAGTGACCTCAACTCTACATCACCATGAATTGTCACCATATGGAATCATTTTACATGCACTTTGAACTTTGCTTTAGGTGCAAGGAAAATTAAACTGCCTGAGACCTGTCTGCTGAGAACAACCTCATGGAAGTGATATGTGACTATGTTTTCATTGTATAAGCAAACAGAATGTATTAAAGCAAGTCATTCTATTGAGCGGAGACGGATTCTATAGTCTGGGAACCCCGGCCACTTATAATGCATCGACGTATTTCTCTAGTTTTACCTATAGTTTGTTTGGAAACAAACAAAAGGCTGGTACATGGAAAAAAGTAGTTCCTTTAGGACCTAAAGTAACTACTTTTTCCCCTGTTTTCCCATTATTATATTATATTATACTAGACCAGGGACTACATCTCCCAGCTGCCCAAGGAGCACTTGGAGATCCTCCAGGAAGAGTTGGATGTGATGACAAGCCCCTGTACTCTCCTAATATTTCTAGCTGTATCGTGTTCTTGTTTTTTTTCCGTACCTCTTGAGGTCTTCGGGCTTCCCCCATCCCCCAATGAAGAGTTTGCTGAGGAGCAGCCTTCTGTAAAATACATCCAGTCGGCTCACACCCATGGACCAGCACCTGGCATCTACAGAGGGACAGAGTGTGTTATCTTGCATAATGTACAGCACAGGCGCTGTAACAAGTCACACTCCTGTATGTCCTTGTGTGCACAAAATCTGAATAAAACAAGTGTCTTGCAAACAACACTCAGGTACTTTTGCCCGAGCTAAAGGAACAACTAGAGGACCTATCAGGTGGCCAGAAACCCCAACCTAACCTCTAGTTTCCTCTATTTCAACTGAGTTTGAGAAGTTGAAATTTTGCATTTATTGAATATGTGTGTATTATGCATAATCTTTATAATACTCAAATATTTTCTGAGATGCTATTTTGCCTATGTCTGAAGCAAGGTAGGAAGTTTTTGTATAGGATTTTAGAGCAGTATAATACAGCTGTTGTACTCCTGTATTGTCTTTCCCTTTTCCCAGACAACATCTGAATGTTACCACAAATACAGTGGGTACGGAAAGTATTCAGACCCCTTTAAATTTTTCACTCTTTGTTTCATTGCAGCCATTTGCTAAAATCAAAAAAGTT